TTTGTCAGATATAAGTATTGCTACCCCAGCTTTTTTTCCATTTCCATTCGCCTGGAAAACCTTTTTCCATCCCTTCACCCTCAGTCTGTGTGCATCTTTTTTTCTGAGGTGAGTTTCTTGTAGACAACAGATATATGGGTCTTGTTTTCTTATCCAATCTGTTACCCTATGTCTTTTGATTGGAGCATTTAGTCCATTTACATTTAAAGTTATAATTGATAGATACTTATTTGACGCCATTTTTATTCTATACCCCTGTGTTCCTTCTTTGCTTTCTATTTCTTTAACTTTACAGTAGACCCGTTAGCATTTCTTGCATTGCTGGTTTGGTGGAGATAAATTCCCGTAGTCTGTTTTTGTCTGTGAAGCTCCTGATTTCCCCTTCAATTTTGATTGATAGCCTTGCTGGGTACAGTATTCTTGGATTCAGACCCTTCCTTTGCATGACCTTGTATATTTCATCCCATTCCCTTCTGGCCTGATAAGTTTCTGTGGAGAAATCAGTTGCTAGTCTGATGGGGGTTCCTTTATATGTAACTTTCTGTCTCTCTCTGGCTGCTTTTAAAATTCTTTTTTTGTCGTAGGTGTTTGCCAGCTTAATTATAATGTGTCTAGGGGTTGATTTTCTGGGGTTCATTTTGCTTGGGACTCTGCGAGCATCTTGGATTTGTGTGGGTTTTTTCTTCTCTATCTCAGGAAAGTTTTCTGTCATTATTTCTTGAAATACGTTTTCCATGTCTTCCTCAATTCCCTGTCCTTCTGGAACCCCTATTACTCTAATATTGTTTTGTTTTGTATTGTCCCAGAGTTCCCTTAGACTTTCCTCCTGTTTTTTAATTTTTTTTTCCAGAAGCTGTTCTATTTGGGTATGTTTTTCCATCTTGTCTTCTAGCTCGCTGATGCGATCCTCTGCTTCTTCTAATCTACTCTTGATGCTTTCTATTGAGTTCTTTACAGTAGCGATGTCATTTTTCATTTCTTCTTGGTTCTTCTTCATTTCCTCTTGGTTCTTCTTCATTTCCTCTTGGTTCTTACTCATATTGTCAAATTTGTCTTCCATTCTTTTTAGCCATCTTATGATCATTACTCTGAATTCTTGCTCTGGTAGGTTGCTTCCCTCTATCTCGTTTACTTCCTTTTCTGGTGAGGCCTGCTTTTCTTTCATATGCGGGCTATGTTTTGGTCTCCCCATGATCTAGGATGTCTGGTTGTGTAGTTCTCTCTCTCCTGCTTTGATTTAAAGGCACCAAATACAACACAACCAGGTACAACACACAGGGGACTGAATCGGGATGTGTTTGAAATATTAATAACCACAAATAAGGGTGACTAGAACCCAGCTAGCAAAAACATACAATCAAACAAAAAGCATATCAAATCAATCTTATAAACAAAAGCATACAACTTCAGTATAGTTAACATTCAACATACAACTTCAAAGTGTTAGAGAGAAAGACTTTTGTTTTGTTTTGTTTTTAGGACAACTGCAAGGGAGGTGTGAATGGGCTCGGAGCAAGTAGTTGGAAATTAGATATATAGAAGTAGGGTGAAATTTTAGGAGGGGGTAGACAGAAGGAATGGGGAAAATCTAGAGCAGGAAAGGGTTAAGATAAACGGGGTACCAAAGGAAAATATCGGAAAGAGGGTGAAGGCATAAAGGATAGGTTGAGATAGAATAAAGCGTTGGAGAAGGAAAGATAGATAAAGCCTGTAGAACAGTAATCCTGAAATAAAATAAAAAAAAAAAATATATATATATATATAATCAAATGAAATAAAAATAATAAAAATAAACAAAAAAAATAAGATGAAAAAGGTAACTTAGTAGTAGTACAATGTAGTAATTATAAAGATAAAATCAAGTGAGGAAAAAGAAAAAAAATAGTTTCTTGAGTAAACGTTGCAAATAATGAAAACAAAAATAAAAAACAAAAATTTAAAAATTTAAAAATTAATAAAATTTAAAAAATTTAAATAAAATTTGCGGTAATGAAGGTCATTCGCTTCCTCTATTGTTATGATCCAGTCCTGATTTTTAGGCGGGTTTTGCTTTGTTTTTATTACACTAGAGTCAATTTGTGAATTAGCCTCTGGGGGCAGTGTTTCTAGGTTGACTTCCCAGACTCTAGAGCCTCTCCAGCTTTTTTTTTTTTTTTTTTTTTTTTTAGTCCTCTCTGAAGCAGGAACTACGGAGGGGGGAGGGGGCAGGTCCGAGCAACCTCAATCTCCCGCAACTCTCCTATACCCCTCCGCGCCAGATCCAAATGCGTTGCTCTTTAGATATCTCCCCTGTTAGGAGCCCCGTCCACTTTCACGGGTGACACCCGCCCAACAGCGGGGCTTCTACTTGTAATCGCCGCCCTTGTCCTCCAGCTTCCGCGTTCTGCGCGCAGGCTTTGTTTTCGCCGCGACTGCGCTCCACCCTCTCCCCGCGAAATCTGACCTTTTCGCCGAGCAGTGGGGCACTCCTGTGAGGCCAGGTGTTCGCGCCGCCTGGGATCCGCGTTCTGGGGGTCACAGTTGCTTGTTGGTCGCTGCGGCTGTTGATATTCAGGCCTCTGACACGATCCTATCTTCCTCTCAAGATGGCGAGGTTTCCCTATCCAAGCCGGCAGGTAGCTCCGGGCAGGGACGCAGCCCGCGTGGGTGCTTCCCTGTGAGGGGTACCTCTGTCAGCAGCCCCCCAGCAGTTTCTTCTGGTGTTCGCTGTCTCCCAGCTTGCTAATAAACACTCACAGCTCAAGACCATCAGTTGCTCTCTCTTTCTGCTTCAGGAGAGGGCTCAGAAACCGCCCATCTATTCTTCCGCCATCTTCCCTCCTCTTTATAGTGTATTTTTTAAAACTAAATTTTCAAACATATTAAAAAATGGAAAGAATATTTTTTTTTTTTTTTTTTTTTTTTTTTTTTTATTTATTTATTTATTTTTTTTAATTTATTTATTTTTTTTTTTATTTTACATATTTTATTGATTTTTTTTTTGCCCCCCTCCTTCCCTCCCATGTATCCCCTCCCTCCCCAGAGTTTTATGTCCATTGGTTGTACTTATATGCAGGTATACAAGTCCTTGGGTTGATTTATTGTCTCCCCCAGACCCTCCTCCCCTCCCCGTTGTAATTTGACAATCTGCTTGTTGCTTTACTGTCTCTATATCTATCTTTTGGTTCATCAGTTTATAATGATCTTTATTATCCACAAATGAGTGGGGTCATGTGGTGTTTCTCTTTCATTGATTGGCTTATTTCACTCAGCATGATGTTCTCCAATTCCATCCAGGTTGCTGCAAATGATGAGAATTCCTTCTTTTTTATGGCAGCATAGTATTCCATTGTGTAGATGTACCAAAGTTTTTGGATCCAATCATCAGCTGACGGGCACCTCGGCTGTTTCCAGATTCTGGCTATTGTAGATTGTGCTGCTATGAACATAGGGGTGCATATATCCTTTCTGATTGGTGTTTCTAGTTTCTTGGGATATATTCCAAGAAGTGGGATTACTGGGTCAAATGGGAGTTCCATTCTCAGTTTTTTGAGGAAACTCCACACTGTTCTCCACAGTGGTTGCACCAGTCTGCATTCCCACCAGCAGTGCACGAGGGTTCCTTTTTCTCCGCAACCTCGCCAACACTTGTCGTTTGTTGATTTGTTGATGTTGGCCATTCTGACAGGTGTGAGATGGTACCGCATTGTTGTTTTGATTTGCATCTCTCGGATAATTAGTGACTTTGAGCATGTTTTCATGTGCCTTTTGGCCTTCTTTCTGTCTTCTTTTGTAAATATTCTATTTAGGTCCATTGCCCATTTTTTAATTGGATCATTCATCTTCCTTTTATTTAGTTGTATCAGCTGTCTGTAGATGTTGGAGATTAAACCTTTATCCGTGGTATTATTTGCAAATATATTCTCCCATACCGTGGGCTTTCTTGTTGTTTTGTTGATGGTTTCTTTTGCTGTAAAAAAACTTTTTATTTTGATGTAGTCCCATTTGTTTATTTTCTCTTTAGCTTCCATTGCCCTAGGGGCAGTATCAGTGAAGAAGTTCTTTTGGCATACGTCTGAGATTTTGCTGCCTGCGGATGCTTCTAGTATTTTTATGGTTTCCCGTCTGATGTTTAAGTCCTGTATCCATTTTGAGTTTATTTTTGTGTATGGTGTAAGTTGGTGATCTAGTTTCATTCTTTTGCATGTGTCTACCCAATTTTCCCAACACCATTTATTGAAGAAACTGTCTTGACTCCATTGTATATTCGTGCCTCCTTTGTCAAATATTAATTGAGCATAGTGATTTGGGTTGATATCTGGGTTCTCGATTCTATTCCATTGATCTATATGTCTGTTCTTGTGCCAGTACCAGGCTGTTTTGAGAACAGTGGCTTTGTAATACAGTTTGAAGTCTGGTATTGAGATCCCTCTAAAAAATGGAAAGAATATTATAAGTCTCCATATACTCATGACTCATATTTAAAATATTATCAAGATTTGCCACATTTGTCTTAGCTCTTCAATTTTTTTTCTCTTTAATGAGCTAAAGGAAATTTCATATGTCATTTTACTTTTACAACCTTAACTATTCATCTTTAAAACATATGGTTGAGCTCTAGCTGGTTTGGCTCAGTGGATAGAGTGTCGGCCTGTGGATTGAAGGGTGCCAGGTTCTATTCCAGTCAAGGGCACATGCCCGGGTTGTGGGCCCCAGGAGGGAGCATGTAAGAGGCAACCGATCAATGGTTCTTTCTCATTATTGATGTTTCTATCTCTCCCTCTCCCTTTCTCTCTGAAATCAATACAAATAAAAATAAAAACATTTTAAAAAATAAAACATATGGTTGATGGTTGATTTCTGATATAAGTATAATTCATTATCCTACTAGAAACTTACTGGAAGTTCTTGATTTCTGATACCTAAATTTCTCTGATATGCTACGTTTTTTAACATCTAAATCTAATTAAATGTTTGTATCTTGTAATGCTCTTATCAAAATAGCCATATTTCTTTTTCAGATTAGTGATGATGAACCAGGTTATGACCTAGATTTATTTTGTATACCTAATCATTATGTGGAAGATTTGGAAAAGGTGTTTATTCCTCATGGACTAATTATGGACAGGTTAGTAACAGATCTTAAATTGAAGTTTGTGTCTTATATTAATTTCAGGTGTCAGCAGCTGTTGTTTTTTTTTAAATATATTTTATTGATTTTTTTACACAGAGGAAGGGATAGGGATAGAGAGCTAGAAACGTTGATGAGAAAGAAACATCAACCAGCTGCCTCTTGCACACCCCCTCCTGGGATGTGCCCACAACCATTGCATATGCCCTTGACCGGAATCGAACCTGGGACCTTCTAGTCCGCAGACCCACGCTCTACCGCTGAGCCAAACCGGTTTCGGCTCAGCAGCTATTTTAAGTAGTTGATATTTGATCATAAACTGGACCAGCTTGTAAAAAAAAATAGATTTTAAAAAAAAATTTAGAAGCCATTTTTACAAAAAAAGGCAGGGAGGGCTTACTAATAACACAACATAAATTATGGTATACTGGTAATCTGTAGGGAGTAGAATAAAGTAAATATTGAAAGGAGATTAGAAGAATGAACTTTAGTCATAGCCTTTGATTTCTCAACCCTGAACAGGGTAATGGACTGGGGCTGAATCACATGAAGGCAAGGTCAGATTTCGATTATTATGCACATCTAGCTTGAAATTTTCCCCTTAAATAAATTGCAGTGAGAAACTTTGGTATTTAAATATTTTCCTTGTGTATCAGGTTATTTTGGTTTTTATTTCAAATTATAATATCGATACATGTGTACTGTGAAATTTTAACTGTAGAGGCTTTAGATAAGAGTAGAGTTCTCTCCTTTCAGCCTGAAGAGCATATATCCTTCCTACATATGGGCTAATCACATATATGTAAATGTACACATATATTTTAACACATGGGTGTGCACTATCATGTAGGTCAAAAATTTATTGGAGACTTTTTCATATTAGTATATCCAGAGCTATCCTAAATATTTTATTTTTTATTTTATTTATTTTTATATTATTTATTTATTTTTTATATTTTTTATAAAATATATTTTTTAAAATATATTTTATTGATTTTTCACAGAGAGGAAGAGAGAGGGATAGAGAGTTAGAAACATCGATGAGAGAGAATCATCGATCAGCTGCTTCTTCCACACCCCCTACTGGGGATGTGCCCCCAACCTACATACATGCCCTTGATTGGAATCGAACCTGGAACCCCTCAGTCCGCAGGCCGACGCTCTATCCACTGAGCCAAACCGGTTTCGGCCTATCCTAAATATTTCAAATGTTGCATAGCATTACATTTTCTAGCTGTATCATAATTTACTAGCCCACTGTGGATGGACATGCAAGATTTGTCCCTTGTCTTGCTATTATAGACCATACTAGAAGGAGACATCCTTTTATAGATATTTGTATGCTTCCTCAACTTGATCCATGTGGAAATTTTGAGTCAACTGGGAGGTGTTTATTGAATGTTTTGATACTGCCAAATTATCCTTCAGGAAGTTATGTTAATTTATACTCCCAATGATATATGCAGATACTGTGTTTCTCACAATTTCTTCTTACATTGTAGATTGTCAGGTAAATTTTATTTTATCAGAATTTGTCAATCTGATAAGTGAAAATGGTATCTTATTTTAAATCGCATTAAAAAATTATTATAAATGTTTCAGCGAACCAGGCTTTTGAGGGTTTTTGCACTGTTCTCTTTGCTTTATGAAACAAGGATATACTTCATGGGGACAAAGGATGTATTTTGTGGAAGTTAGAGGTTAAGAGGTGTTTGTTGTAAAGTTTACGTGTATTTTTATTACAGTATAAATTACTTTCTATTAAGTTCCTGATTTTATTTCTGTAGGACAGAGCGGCTTGCTCGAGATGTGATGAAGGAGATGGGAGGCCATCACATTGTAGCCCTCTGTGTGCTCAAAGGGGGCTATAAATTCTTTGCTGACCTGCTGGATTACATCAAAGCACTGAACAGGAATAGTGATAAATCCATTCCTATGACTGTAGATTTTATCAGACTGAAGAGCTACTGTGTAAGTATATTTAATATATATGTTTATTCAATAACATTTTTAAAATAAAACATGGTAACTATAGGTTTTCTGTATGTTTTTGAAGCTTTGCAAACTAAAGTCACATGTTTATTTCAGTTGGTTACAGTGAGATTTTCTGATATATTCACCAGTACTTTATATCCAAGTGAATTTTGTCTTTTTGGGGGGGATTAATCCTCACCCAAGGATATTTTTCCATTGATTTTTTAGGGAGAGTGGAAAAGAGAGAGAAAGACAGAGAAACAATAATGTGAGAGAGACATCAATTGGTTGCCTCCTTCATGAGCCCTGACCAGGGCCTGGACCGGGGAGGAGCCTGCAACCAAGGTATGTGCCCTTGACTGGAATCGAACCCAGGACCCTTTGGTACACAGGCCAATGTTCTATCCACTGAGCCAAACTGGTTAGGGCAATATTGTCTCCCCCCCAAATTAGTCACCTTAGAAGTTATATACTTATTTTAAAGGTATTTTATTATTTTGGGTTTTTTTTTTTTGTAGTTTTAATTTTAATTTTTTAAAATAATATTTTTATTTCAGAGAAGAAAAAAGAGGGAGATTGAAACATCAATAATGAGAGAGAATCATTGATTGGCTGCCTCCTGTATACCTCCCACTGGGAACCAGCCCGCAACTGGGGCATGTACCCTGACCTGGAATCAGCCGTGATCTCCTGGTTCATAGGTTGATGCTCAACCACAGAGCCACACTGGCCAGGCTGTTTTTTGGAGTTTTTAAAAAACCTTTTAAGAATTGCTGTTGGGACTTGAGTGTTACTCTTTTAACTATATTTACTGGTGGCAAATACCTTCTCTGGAGCTAGATTGGTTTGTGGGGAAATCGAAAGGCATTTGGAACGAGGTCTGATAAAATAAAGTGGGTCCAGAATTATTTCCTAGCCCTAGCCAGTTTTGCTCAGCAGATAGAGTGTTGGACTGTGGACTGAAGGGTCCCAGGTTCAATTCTGGTCAAGGGAATATGCCCAGATTGTGGGATTGATCCCCAGTGTAGATAAGTGGTCTTCTTCTTCTTCTTTTTAATATATTTTATTGATTTTTTATAGAGAGAAAGGGAGAGAGATAGAGAGTTAAAAACATCGATGAGGGAGAGTCATCAACCAGCTGCCTCTTGCACACCCCCTTCTGGGGATATGCCCGCAACCAAGGTACATGCCGTTGACCGGAATCGAACCCTGGACCTTGAGTCCGCAGGCCGACACTCTATCCACTGAGCCAAACAGGTTTCGGCATGTGGTCTTATTCTTAATGAAATAAAACATTCACATCAAAGAAATTGTGGGTGAAATTAATGTGTAAAGATCACACTGAGCTCTAGCCAATTTGGCTGTGGATAGAGCATCAGCATATGGACTGAAGGGTCCCAGGTTTGATTCTGGTCAAGGCCATGTACCTTGGTTGCGGGCACATCCCCAGTAGGGGGTGTGCAGGAGGCAGCTGATGGATGTTACTCCCTCATCGATGTTTCTAACTCTCCCTTTCTGTAAAAAATCAATGAAATATATTTTTAAAAAAAAGAAAAGAAAAGAAAATACCACTTTTGATTCACTGTCATTATGCAGTGTTACACGATCTCAAATGCTTCAGAATATTGACACTGGATGGGCCAAAATCCAGTGATCTTTTTGTTGTTGTTACTCACCCGAGGATATTTTTCCATTGATTTTTAGAGAGAGTGGAAGAGAGAGATGGAGAGAAATATCGACATGAGAGAGACACATCAATTGGTTGCCTCCTGCACACACCCCAACCAGGGCTGGGGAACCTGCAACCAAGGTACATGCCCTTGACCAGAATCAAACCCAGAATCAAACCTGGAACCCTTCAGTCCTCGAGCTGATGCTCTATCCAAACTGGCTAGGGCTCTGTGATCTTTACACATGAATTTCACCCACAATTTCTTTTCTTTTTTTTTTTTTTACTTTTTTTTTTTTTTAATATATTTTATTGATTTTGTACAGAGAGGAAGGGAGAGAGATAGAGAGTTAGAAACATCAATGAAAGAGAATCATCGACCAGCTGCCTCTTGCACACCCCCCACTGGGGATATGCCCGCAACCAAGGTACATGCCCTTGACCGGAATCGAACCTGGGTCCTCCAGTCCCCAAGCCGACGCTCTATCCATTGAGCCAAACCGGTTTCGGCCCACAATTTCTTTGATGTGAATGTTTAATTTCATTAAGAATCAGACCACTTATCTACATTTAGCTTTCAACCTTCATTGTCTTTGTTAATCATCCATTTGACTCTTTGACCTTTTTCACATTTTTATCAGTCTAATAGGTGATAAGACAACCACTTAAATATTATAGACATTTTCCCTATTCCACCAAAGCCCTTTATGCTCAAACATTATGATGTTACTTTGTATTTATAGGCTCCTTTTAACTGGTCAGTCTTGTTTGAATTAAAGACTTGTTTAAATATAAAATTTGGATTTTTACTTAACACAAGCTATTTATTTATTTGTTTATTTATTCATTTATTTATTTTGCTGGTTTACACTCAAATTTAATGTTAGGCAGCATAGCTGCCAACAGTATAGCTGCCCAGTTTTTATTTTATTTTTAAATGATAACATTTTTATGTTTTTATTTTGTTAAGCCTCACCTGAGAATATTTTCCCATTGGTGTTTAGAGAGGGTGGAAGAAAGGGAGAGAGACAGAGAGGGGATCATGGATGTGTGAAAGACACATCTTTTTTTTTATTTCTACTTGATCCTTTATTATTTCTAGTTGATCCCTTTTCATATCTTCATAGGTCTTGTTTATTTTATCAGCCTTTTCTAGGAGATTCTTGAAAAACCTTATAAGAGTGGTTTTGAATTCTCTATCCAGTCGCTTTTTGTCCTCCATTTCTTTCATTTGTGATCTGTTTCCTTGTCTCAGCATTTTCGCTGCTTCCCTAAGTTGGTAGGGTGGGAGGATCAGCTGTATCTATGCCTGGAGACAGCCTTATTAGATTAGACTTGGAAAACTAGTGCTCAGCTTGGATGGGGTGGAGTTTCAGGGTGGAGCCTACAGTCTTGGCTTCCGATTAGCCCCACCCTATGAGGCTCCTGAGTCTCAGTATTCCTCAGTGTCCTTTGGTAATCCAGTCTAGTCTCTCCCCCAACGAGCCTGCAACTGGGGTTCAGTGCAGTTGGAAGTGGGGTTAAGAGCAGTCCGGAGCTTATGTCTCCTTCCTGAAAGGGCAATCCAGCGGCTCAATCAACAGTCCATCCTCTGTGTGAAATGTGCGTGACACAGGGCCTCTGCCTTTTGCCGCTCCCTTGAGCTTCCTTCCGCTTTACAGCCCAAATTCCTTCTGTATGAGCCTGCGGCCTGGGGGTCTCACCCAGAACTGGGGTTCAGTGCAGTCGGAACTGGGGCTCAGCACAGTCCGGAGCTTTTGTCTCCTTTCCGCTAGGGCAATCTAGCAGCACAGTCAGCAGTCAGTCCTGCATACAATGTGTGTGCCTCCAGGGCTCTGCCTTTCGCTGCTCCTCTGAGCTTCTGCCTTACAGCCCAGGCTCCCTCTGTATGTGTCTGGGTCCCCAGGGTCTTGCTCAGAACTGGGGTTCAGTGCTGTCAGAACTGGGGTTCAGCATAGTCTGGAGCTTTTATCTCCTTCCTGCTAGGGAACTCCAGCCGGGCACTCAGCTGCCCCTCCTCTCCGGCTCCATCCTTTCTGCGCTTGCAACGTGTCTCCGTACCTTAGGCTGGAGCTCCTCTGACCTTCTGGTTTTCTCTTTCCTTCTGACCTTCTGGTTTTACAGCTCCTCTGACCTTCTGGTTTTCTCTTTCCTTCCCCTTGTAGAATTTCCAGTCAGTCAACTTTCCTGTAGTTCTGGATAATGTCCACTTTATATTTTAGTTGTAGTTTTTGAAATTGTTATGTGAGGCTGCAGATAGGCAGTTACCTATGCCGCCATCTTGGTTTCCCACCGACACATCTTTTTTAAATAATATTTTTTATTGACTTCAGAGAGGAAAAGAGAGAGAGATGAAAACATTAGTGATGAAAGAGAATCATTGATCAACTGCCTCCCGACACCCCCCACTGGGGATCGAGCCCACAACCTGGGCATGTGCCCTTGACTGGTATTGAACCTGGGATCTTCCAGTCCTCGGGCCTATGCTCTATCCACTGAGCCAAACCAGCCAAAGCTGTATTTTATTTTTTTGAAAGCTGTCCAGTTTCTAATATATTGTTGCTTAAGTCAAAACATGTACTTAGTATGGCCCATGGTATGATTTCTCTTTGATCTTAAGTACCCTATCCACCCTCCCACACAAACACACACAAAAAAATTAATCTTGTTACTTTATGGCTGATACTTCATTCCTCTGGGAATTTAGGCAGAATGTTCTTCCTTTGAAAAGAAAACTCGTAAAAACAAGTGAGGGGACTTTAATATTTTTTAAAAGTATTTTATAGCTGTAAGAGCAATTTGAAGCAAAGGAACACTTTGACATTTTAATTTAATTTTCTTTTAGTTTTTTCTTATTCATTTTAGATTTTAGAGGATTATTAAGCTGAACTCCTCAACTGATAAAAAAATATGAAAATTTAAACACAAGCAAAGTGAATTTTAAGATTTTCACTTAGATGAAAATAATATCCATTCTGTTTTATGTGAAATTCTGTGTAGGTTTACTGTTAAGCAATAGAAATTAAGAACGCCATACAATAGAAATTAAGAATGCCATACATATACTTTAATTTTTCAGTTTGTCATGGAAAATATTCACACGTCCATATAAAATATAGGCAACTTAATTTGATTAAATTAAAATGGAAATTTAAAATTGTTTGCAGTATCAGTAACTTTGATGTTAGTATAATTTTAAATGCTATCTTGACCAGTTTGAAATAGTGAATTAAACATTGATCTGTACTAATCCTAAAGGAATGCTCAATGAACTGTTACATATTCCTAGAATATATAGAGAGCCAAGAATGTCAACACGCCCCATCTG